CGAAATTAGAGTGAGTTAGTATTTACTAGCAAACAAGGTCTCAACGTAATTCCACTCATGCTCGTTGTAATCACAGATTAAATCGACCAAATGAAAAGGGCGATAACGAGATTTACACATATTTACAAACAAACACATTGAGTGCTACTACAAATGTTGCGATGCCGAACGTACTTTCACAAAATACCAGCTCCTCCTTGATCATGTTTATTTTTTTTCCTTAACAGCCTTAAACGGGACGTCAGACGGTCCGTACTATCACAATATTTAACACAAAAGCGACCATACCTGATCCCAGAATGACTTAAGGTCCTTTTTCATTGCATAAGCGTCTTCGCCATCCGCGTAATATTTTGGTTCAATTTCATAAGCCCTATATACAAACCATAAAATCGAGAATAAAACATTACTGAAACCCAAGATTCTTTTTATAGAGTGTGAGTGCCGCCCTATTGCTTTTGCGTACGTGCAAAGAAACATATCTTGCTTGAAAATTTTCAACCATTGCACGGGAAGCCAAATTCATTAAGGTTCGAGCCAAGCCCAAACGTCGATGACTACGCTTCACAGCAAGAGATGTAATATGTCCGTATGGCAAGTCATCAGGATCCTCTTCCCTGCAGCGGATAAAGTAACATAAATACACATACATTTTTGCTAGAACATATCCGACAATTTCACCATCGGCTTCTTCAGCAATATATGATAGCTGGGGCCATGAAAGCCCATGATAAAAGTAATACTTCATGACATAATTTTCAGGAAGACAGTCAAGATTACAATCACGCATGCTGAGAAGATCATCAGGCTATAAAATTATGAGTAAAGAACAAGACCGCCCTACCCTGGCATTTCGGATATTCATCGTCAGTCTTCTTCTAAGCGGCACCTAATCTATTAATTGAAACAATATTCAAGGAATGCTGTCTTATTTTACACATTTACATTGTATTAAATGTAGACGCAAAACTAAAAAATTAAAACTGCCTGTTTATTTCACAAAGGCGGCTTATGGTAAGAGTGCGGATTACTACTTCTACGAAAATGTTAATCCTTTAATTTTGCACCTCGATTCATCATTTGTATGAGTTCATAAGACAAACCGGCACGTCTGATTACTTAATGCTGGACATCAGCAACTATCATTAAGACCAACAAATCCTGTGCCAAGTGCTTTTAATGTAATTGGGAAACATGAACGCTACACTATTTGGGCGGAGACCCTGAAAATATAGCCTTAATTCGATTGTTGAAATTCTAAAACTTACAATATTGGATAAATGTTTACTTTACTGAATTTTTAGAAAGGAGTTTGGTAAATTAATTCCATGAAAACTGTTCTCCAGTTCTGGACAATTTGAATTAAAGTAATCCACTGTTTGTAAAGTAATAAGGACTGTCGTCTAATCAAATTGTTTTGAAAGGTTAACGGAGATCATTTCAAAGAAAAATGCTAAAGGTTCTTTACGTGTGCAATGTTGTTGTTTCAAAAAGGTTTTCTTCTCAAGAATTTAAGGCAAATGATCAGCAACGATCTTTCCGAATTTAAGCTGTGCATTGCTTGACCTTCTATGTGTGTATGTACCAATATTCATTATAAGGTCGGACCATACATTCGTGTTAGTATCAGCCTGCAGAATACGGATCCGTCGTCCAAAAAGACATGTATAATACTAAAGCCTTTTAGCGCTCTTACTCAGGCCATCTGTTAGGCTTCATCAACCTGAGCCCCATTTACTGGATATGACGCTCTTCTTCTTATCCTCTTAAACATCCTCGTCGCTGGTTGACCGATGCTTTACCTCGCAGATTATTCAAGGCAACACAGGCAGATGACTGGCTAAGCTCTGCGTGAACCGATGTGGTTGCACGCACACACACACGAGATAGAGTGTACTGCAGGATACCTGAGCCCTAATAGAAAGAAGTCTGGTACAGCAGAACAGTCTTTATTGACCAATCATAATCCAAAACCACACGTCAGTAGCCGTCCATCCGAGTCACCACGCTGGCCACGCCACTCCTTCTATATTGCACCTCATTCGTATCCTTCTCTGGTTGGCTGTTTAGCTTCCTCGAATGCTATTGGAACGCAGAGAGACGAAGACCAGCTTAGTCTAATATGTCTGGTGCTAATCCATTGGTCGACGGTGAGAAGTACGTCATGGTGGCGATATCAAGTGGCCGGGGCATGACATCCGACTGTGTAGCGTCATGCGGGCATTGATTGACGCGCCGGGTACTTAGAGCCAATCCGCTCGCGAGATTTCCGTCTCCATTGCAGCGCCGCGGAACGGACCAACGGAAGAACAGTAAGAACAGGACAAGGTTATATATAGACTCTGCTTCCTCCCTTACGCCCGACCTCTTTGTGACTAGATTGTGGCTTTTCTCAGCCTCTATTAAAAGACTCCATTTTGCCTCACTCTCTCTTCTTGACCATACCACGGGGCGGAAGCGTACAACTGGTGGCAGCGGTACCGTCGCAAATACAAAAACGGTCCCGTACAGAAAACAAATCTTATAGAGTAGAGGCAGTTTACACCATCAACCGCCGGAGTTTAATGTTGATTATGATATCGAGGCTTGGGTGGACAAGATGGAGCGATTTCTGAGATACGAAGAACCTAGTGCGCGATCACACATGATGATGAGAAACCACCCTGTTTCAGCCAGGCGTGTTGTTGTAATGTCTGGCTGCTCGGATGACACATTTTATGATCAATTACTTGAAAATTTATCTATGCTGATTACGGAGGACGCTGAGAACATTTGCAGGTACTTTATAGTCCGCAATATCGGCCTGGAGAGCATACATGATCTGGTCAGAAGAACTTTCCCAGGTTTGATGCACAAAAGCCTAACGGTAACCCACGTTCGCCGGGAACTGCCATACAAGATCGCTATGCGCTATGCTGGACTTGGGATCAAATCAATTGCAGATATACAGAAGGCTCTGCTGAAAGACCCCGACCTGGGGGACAAAGTCCAGTTTTCCACACCGGCTCAGCCAAGTCACATTCCACACTACACTGCCTCCCCCTCTAGATTTAAGCTGTCCACAGCTTCTGATTTGGTTCACAGCTCTTTTCTTGATTGTTAAAATATCCAGTTTGACACATACCTCACCCACATCTGGTAGCAATAGATGCCGAGAGACTTTGCTCTTGTAGACTTGCAGGAAAAAATTCTTTATCCATCGTAGGTCCATTTGCAGTTGCAGTCCAGCTGGTTTCTGCTGTCCATGTCGTCGTCAATGAGTTGCCAATGACTCTTCAGATGAGGTAGTCCTAATCTCGAGCAATGTCTATGGATCCACTTTATTGGACATCGGATGAACACCATGACAACTTTAGCTGGAATTTAAGGGTCTTATCCTCCGTTGACCATTTTAAGGGATAAGCTGGCTTTCATTTCGCGTTATTCAAATGCATCCGATACCACCATTGTAGAATAGCCGAGACCTAATAGGAGGAAGACCGGTACGACATACCAGGCGTTATTGACCAATCGCAAGCCAGAAGCTCACATCAGGCGCCTTCAATCTGAGCCCGCCACGCTGGCCACGCCGCTCATTATATTCTGCACCTCAGTCATGTCCATCTCTGGTTGGCTGCCTTCCTTTCCCAAATGCCATTGGATCGCGGAGAGACACGGGATTGGCTGAGGCCAGCGTGGTCAAATATGTCTGCGCCCCTATACGTCACCGCTGTAGAATACCCGAGCCCTAATAGGTAAAAGACCGGTACAACAAT